AGTTCTCCATACCAGCAGACCGGTGGAGGTACTAGATTTTTGTTTTTATGCTTCCCCCACGCGAACCAAACTCATGTCTTCCGCGTGCTACGGCGAAGTAAAGTGCTTCATGACAAACCACAGGCCCCGTTCACGTGGTTCTGATTTCCGGTATCCTGTAAGAAATTAAACTGAAGCGGACAGAAAGTTACGGTTCATTAAAACAAAAGTTATTCAGAAATGCCATTCAGACGTACACTAGTGCAAAAATCTTCTACATGTGTGCAACTAGACCGAGGAGAAAGACAGTGATACTGTATCCCAACTTGACAATTATTGAACTCACTCCAACTCCAGCACAAGAAATAACAACGTATTTATCATACACACACGTCTGTTGAAAAGGGGATAAAAACCCACGAAAATACAGGACAAACAAAACAAGAAGAAAAAGAAAAATACAAATCACATCCTAAACGACAGATAATATCAATCAAAACAAAGCATGGAGACGATCGTCAGCCCTTCTTTGACATAAACACAGTTCGACAGAAACAAAAAGACAAGGCTTACAGTACAATAAATCCAACATAGCTACGCCCAACCCTAGAAACTACCACCACTACCACCACCACCACCACCACCAACAACAACAACAACAACAACAACAACAACAACAACAACAACAACAACAACAACAACAGCAGCAACATTATCGTAAACTTCCACGGCTGTGAAAAACATAAACAAATGACATCCCCAAACTATTCGGCCGCTGTGGCCCACTAGCTTGCCAACTTGATCTGCCAACCAAAAGTTCCAAGGTCGAACAATAGTAAGTACTTGTACTAAGGTGACAATTATTTCTGCAACCTACTAACAGCATTTTCCTCTCACCTCAGTTGTCTTACGTGAAACGGCAATGGTCTGCATTCAAAATTGTGTTCTTTGTGTTTACCGGTGCATCAAGATTTTAGAAATATGCCCCCCCCCCCCAAAAAAAATGAATGAAAAAAGGAAGAAAGTCAGAGAACAAGAACAATTTTTTACCCCCTACCCCAACCCCCTCTCCACCTGGTTTCACTGCAAATGTTAATCAAGCAGCGCAAAACTGAGAACATCTCAGAGAACCAGATATCAGTTTTAATCAAACCTGCATCATGACGTGTTCACCTCGATCACAGCGTTATTTATCTCTTCATCATCTTTTTTCGTTCGGTTACCTGATTCATTTAAAAAACCACATTCTTATGCAAGGGACTCATATGACCCTTGTTGATTAATACCACTATTTATTTGAATTGTGATAATATCCCTGAAAATGTCATTGCGTAATCAGACTCATTTTCTCGGTGTATAAAGCCTGAGGAAAGAAATAACTCTCGCAGTCTGCATAGAGATGCTTGGAGTCGAGGACTTGAACATTCACCTTTAGCTACGGCTGGGTTGTGTTTAGCAATGGGCATTAATTAACGAGAAAATGCAAAAGGAACGTCTTTCTTGTCGTGGGGCGAAACTGTGATGCCTGCAAAGTTTTACCTGTATAAACAGATAAACAATTTTGGATAGTTTTACGCGAATGGACAGCTAAATAAAGTTTGGAGTGAAGTCTTCAGTTATTCGCAACGACCTTGTCTGCTGTCACCTTGAAGAACAACTGGTTTCTCTCTTCTGTCTGTTTGTTTTTCTTTGTTTTGTTTGGGTTGTGGGGGGTTTTTCACCATGACGATGAAAAGTGCGAAGAAGATATCAACGACATTCGTGTTGATTTCACTGTATCATCTTTCGCGTGTAAACATGGCTGCTTTTTCTAGTGGAGAAAGAAGCAAGGGTAATGGTTTCAAGCACGGCCCTTCACAAAGTTTTCTTTCCGAACCAAAGTCAAATACCGACATGAAATACCCTACGGACATTTCTCAAACGCCCTTTCAGTCAATATCAGACGAATTGTCTGACCACGACAACAGCAGCAGCAGCAACACCAACAAAACCAACAACACCAAGAACAACAACAACGACGACGATAATAACAACTGTAACAGTAACAACAACAACAACAACAACAACAACAACCATGTGAAGAACCCTTTGACACCAGTCGGTTCATCAACTAATGAGTTACAAAACGCAGAACTCGCCCCCTCCTGGGAGAACATCAGCAACAACAACAACAACGAAGACGACGACTTTGACGAGGGAGACAACGACAAAGACAAAGTCAACGACCATAACAATTTGGGGAACGCTCAAAGGCCCGGTTTTTCTGGCGGCACATCACTTGAAGGTGTGCAAAAGTTCGAGGAGATAGAACTCGCAACCCCTATGGAAAACATCGGAAACAACAACAACAACAACAACAACAACAACAACAACAACAACAACAACAACAACAACGGCGACGAAGACAACAACAACAACAACAG